TCTAAAAGACTTCTTAAAGAATTCTAAAAGTGTTCTGGAGGACTTGGGAAATCTTTTGGAACTCTTTAAGAAATCTTTTAGAGATTTGTGCTATATGGGATGCTGATACAAAATCGCTAATATTTCAGGGTTATGGTGTTGCCAGATGTCCAACCTTACGATATGACGTTTTACATCTGACAATTTCAACCATAACTTACTGGTGGGGCCATCTTTTGTCAAACGGCGGAGACTTATTTGTACTCCCAATTGTATTGTAAACTCTCTTATAAAAATACTTTAATTTTGTTTGAAGAATTTCATTGTTCTCTTTTTTAAATATAAATTGAAGTAGAATAATCCATATTTTACTACAGAAAAAACGTTGAATTAGGTTGAACTGAATTCATAAAAATTTGCTCGCTGCAGATTTGGAAATAACACACTTGGTGCATACGTGTTCTGCTTTGCTGGGACGACACTATGTATACACTTTGAACATCCACTTCAAGAACATACGCAATTCGCTGAGATATTATCATAAAATAGTACAGCCACTCATTATCGTTATCCTGCCGAGTTACAGCGGATTTTTGGAGTTTGCGGAAGCTACCAAAAACTACGTCATGTCCTTCCCGGTGTGGATCGTCTTGTTCCTCTACAAACCTGACAACAATACGAACGATTACTGCCATAACCCGATCGGTAATCCCTTTAATCTGGCGTTTGACACGCAAATGTTGGTCATCTGCTATAGAGACGAAATTCTGCGGGAATGGTACTCGGTTAAGGGCGAGACTACCAAAGTCTTCAACCTGGCGAAGTGGATAGACAACAAGGGATTCATACCCTTAACGAAATTGTCCCTTTACGATCGGAAGAAGGATATGGAAGGAGTTGTCTTGCGAACAGTCACTGTCAGAGTAAACTTGATAAGATTTAATATAAATTATTGAAACATACAGAGTGTTTATTTTAAAATTTTTCACCTCAATATTTTTAAAAATATACATTCTACGAAAAAATGTTTAATATAAAAGTTGTAGAGTTTTGAGGAGGTCATAAAAGGCTACTATTTGTCTGACTTTGTACTGTACTGTAACTTTCAAGTGTCATTATTTAAAAAATACTTAAGGTAAAAATATGTTATTATAGTGTTTTGGAAAGCTCATGAGATAAGCTATAAGAATATGCAACAAAAAGTAGGAAATTCCATTAAAAAAATTCAAGTTGATTTTGGCGTGACTTTAACGTCTCCATCTATGATCAGACAAATAGTAACTTTTTATGGCTCCCTCAAAACCTTATAACTTTTATTCTAAACATTTTTTCGTAGAACGTATATTTTTTTAAATATTGAGATAGGAAGTTTTAAAATAAACACCCTGTATATAGAGATGATTTTATTTATACGCTTCAGATATACATTTGATTTTTCTAAGATAGAAAGAAATGAAAGTCTTGATTAGTATATTTCGCGTAGTTAATGTGCGCTTAGTATTGATCAATTTATTTATTTATTTTCTTTTTTTAAATTTTGATATTCAGGATGTTTCAACGAAACAATTCACCGATGACAATTATGTGGCTGGTTTGTATGGTAAAGTACTAGGTGAGCTCACGCAATCTCTTAACTTTACCTTGAAATACGTATCGGATGAGCACGAGCATGGCATGTGGAATAACAAAACTCAAATATGGTCTGGAGTGATGGGCGAGATCGTGTCAGGTCGCGCGGATTTCGCTATTGCTGATATGTCAATGACGAGTCTCAGGGTTCGCTACGTCGATTTTACGCTACCCTTGATAATATCTAGGAACAATCTGTATATCAGGGAGCCAGGAATTTGCGGCGTTAAATGGCGTGGTTATTTACAGGTATGTATAATCAAAATAACGTTACATAAAATTGACTTGTTTTCTCTCCATTACCGCTATTTCAGAAACAATAATCATACATATACTATTTTCCTCTTTTCAAGACAACTGTCTTCATTCTTACAATTATTTGTATTATTTTAGATTATTTGATGAATAAAGATTTCTTCGATAAATAATACTTCAGTCGAGCAATTTGAATATCTCTGTCTTGTTCTACAATATTTTTCCAAAGAATTATTACAATTTTAAGCTAATAATATGTAATTTGTACGATTGTGACAGACCTTCCGTACACACACTTGGATCGCGACTCTCGTGTTAATAGCGGTCATGCCGCTCCTGCTGTGCTTCATGAAGATATGTCATGGATCTCGAAACATCACGAATATTATTTCTGACAATTATATCTATACCTGGGGCATCTTTTGTCAACAAGCTCTTACAGGTATTCTACTACTTTAAAACGCCAGAATTAAATTAGATTCTTTCAACCAGTTGGGAAATTAAGCAATCCATTTGAGAATATACTTTCCTCTTCTTCTTTGTTTAAAATTAAGAGGATTGGATGGTCAGATTGCCTGAAAATCGTGCTTGTTTTTTTCACAATTTTTTTATGACAAACTGAATAAGTATGCGAAAGTGTTATTTTAACTATAAGCAATAAATTGAGCAAAGTTAACAAAATTGCAAATATCTTAATGGAATATTATTAAGTTTTCAGTTTTTTTATAATAAAAAAATTAATATTTCAAAATTAAATATTTTTACGAGTTTGTCAGTGGTTTACACGATAACGACAAGCTTACGGAATGTTTCTACCTAAAATTCAACTTAATTGAACTACCGAGAGTCAAGTATTATTGCAAAATGACGACCTTGAAAAGAAAAACGAAATATATTTTAACTGCATGTACCATACACTTATATTGAGTATTTGATCATCAAAATTATATTTTTCTTCTCTTTATATGTTGTATAAATACACATCAAAATAACACTTTCGCAAATTCATTCAGTTTGTCATAAAAAATTATGAAAGAACAAGCACGATTTTCAGGCAATCTGACCTCCAGTCCCTTTAATATATCAAAATTAAAGTAAACGTATTTAAATTTCTCTTTAATATATCAAAATTAAAGTAAACGTATTTAAATTCCCTCAGAGTTTCCAAGGCCATCATCGCTACGCATTGCGTACTTCACGATATTTTGCACGGCAATAGTGATATCGGCTTACTATTCGGCGGCACTGATATGTTTTCTAACAGCATGTGTTCCGGTTCTACCATTTCGCACGATAGATGAATTTATCGATGACGGAACCTTCAAACTAATAGTTCCACGCGGTAGCGCCGACTACGACATATTCGTTGTAAGTTCATACTGCAATCAAGAGATACCGATTTTGGTTTACACATTTCGAAAGTTATCAGTTCTATATGCTCGACATTTTTGTATAGGGATAGAATTTCGAGGACGCATCGATAAATATATGATAATTGACATGTACCTATATTTATCAATGCGGCTCCGTCCTTGAAATTCCTGCGCACTGTGTTCGATAATATGAAATCTTAATTGCACAAATGTATTTAATACTTATCGTCTTTTATACATGACTTATCGTCATGTTGATGTGTACATTCGACATACGATAACACTGTTCGACAAAAATTGAACCAGACAAAAATCAGAAATTTTTTTCGTGACACGAGTGCAAATAGTCATTTCCGATGTATTTTTGCCTGCTGAACACGAATCTGTCATCCAAATTTGGCTATCACGTAATAATTTTGAGAAAAATGGTGTCAAAGAGGCCAAAAATGACGATTTTAAGGGTTTTCGTGGCGCTGTAGCGCAAACAGTAAATTTGTTTTTTACATTTCGTTAATACCACGCAAAAATATTAACTTTTAGCTTGAAAATGCATTTTGTCTCGTTTCCCAATAATTTTTTGTTTTCAACATGTGGCTAATCAGAAACAATCGTCAATATCATTGGGCAGAACAATTTTTTTTGCAAGAAGACGAAGTCATTTTCGATGTATTTTTGCCTGCTGAACACAAATCCGTCGTCCAAATTTGGCTATCACATCACAATTTTGAGAAAAATGGAGTAAGATACAAGATAAAAAGATTCCCGCACTCGGCATTTTGGCCTCTTTGACGCCATTTCTCTCAAAATTATGACGTAATAGCCAAATTGGACGCTAAATTTGAACGACGGATTCGTATTTAGCAGGCAAAAATACATCGAAAATGACTATTCGCCTTTTTGCAAAAAAAAATTGTTCTGCCCAATGATATTGATGTCAATGACTGTTTTTAACTGGCCATATATTGAAAACAAGAAATCATTGGGAAACAAGACCAGATGCATTTTCAAGCTAAAAGTTGATATTTCTGCGTGACATTAATAAAATGTAAAAAAATTTACTTTTTGCGCTACAGCGTCACGAAAACCCTCAAAATCGTCATTTTTTTATTTTTTTGATGTCATTTTTCTTAAAATTGTGACGTGATAGCCAAATTTGGGTGACGGATTCGTGTTCAGCAGGCAAACATATATTGGAAATGACTATTCGTACTCATGTCACAAAAATTTGTCAAAAAATGTAATTAACGTGATACGTCCTTGCGATCATTTTAGACATCGAATGAATCTTTCTCCTTGAAGCTAGCGAGACTGATGAAGAAGGAAACAGAACTGCCGAAGTCTTTAATCGATGGTTTCATGCAAGTACGATTGACATAAAGATTTTATAATTATTTTTAATTTTTTATATTGATGGTATCGAGAAAAAGAGGATTTCTCTAAGATTGTTTGCACACTCATTGTCTTATTCTATTGTTTATCCAGCTATGTAAAGATAGGAAGCTCGCTTATCTCGTGCTCAGTGCTTTGAAGAAGAGCGTGGAAATGAGGATTCCATGCAAGTTGTCTGCTATTCGCACCGAGAGAATAGACAACTTAGGTATGGTTCTGTCTAAAGGTAATCCATACACGGGCGTGATAAACTATCAGTGAGTATCATAAAAGATATCTAGATATTTGTTTTGCACTGGAGCTTTTTAACTCTTTACCTCGGATAATTCGCGATTACTATTTGTGAACACGTAACATGGAATTAAGAGAAACAAATGTACTATCTAGCCGTACCATGAATCTACATACAATCTATATATATATATATATATGATTTACATATGATCTAGATATGTAAATATAGGTTAAGCCTAACTGGGTTAGCGAGTTAAATGTGGGTGATATGCGTATAATGTGAAATTTAACGGGGAAAATAATAATGATTTCAATATTACAACGATTTTAAGAATTAACAATCATTGTGTTTATTTCAGTCTGCAAAAATTTTTGGATAACGGTATGATGATGCGTCTAAAGGATACGCGATTCTTGATGGGATCGGTTAAAAATAAGGCTTATCGACCGGTCCATGTGGTTAACGTTGTCCCGATTTTATCAATACTCTGTATGGGGATTATTTTAAGCGTCGGTATACTAATTACAGAGAATATTTATTATCGATATAAGAAGGAGAAGAGACAGAAAAGAAGACATCACTTAAAGGTCTTCTATCCTTCGAGAAACCGGCCGTTTATCATGAAGTGAATAAATTTTTCACTCGATATAAAAATGCATTGTTCTATCACGTGTGTACGTGTGTGTTTGTAAATTTGTAACATGCAATTAAGTGATACCGAAGAAATATTAAAGTATTTCTCTTTGTTTTAATCGTTGTGCGTAATATATGACGTGTTTTGTGAGTCTCTGTCTTCTACGAATTAAAATATTACAATGTGTTATTATATAAGTAAAAAGTTTAAAATAAAAAAGTGTCTTAATTGCTTGTTTCGTGAATATTGCTTGTTCTTTATACTTTTAATTCTAAAGTTTCTATGTTGAAAACTGCAATTAATCTCTCGCACATTATGTATTATTGCGACACCCAACGCCGTGAGCAGTTAATCGCTATCGACATACCGTCTTATCGATACCGAGAAATCTTCTCTGCTGATTCGCGACATTACACCCCTTTTACGAGGCTCGCAAGCCTAAATTTACATCGATCTTTATGTATGCGAGCTAAAAGCTAAAACGCGGCCAACACATCCGAAATAACAGCCACCGTTGGTAATGCACGGCTGCGTGATGCTCGTTGTGAAAGCACGACGATGCAAAATAATCCATGGTTTTGCCGTATCTCGATGCAATTTATGAGTAACGTAGTCGCACTTTCACACCCGAACGATAATGTGATAATGTGATGTGAAAGTGATAATGTACGACATGCGAGAACGTGCATTACGGTATGTTGACGCTGATAGTCCACCACCTCATAACACCTCCGCACCCTTAGATCCGCAGGTCCAATAAATTCCAACATCTGCGACGATCGCTTTTCAGTCGCGCATCCGTACTCTTGAATCGCGGATCTTTATTTTGTACTGTTTTCTTTAACAACGATTGCTACATTTTTAAGAGAGGATTCTACTAGCGATACACGCAATGGTTAGTGTTAATACAATCATTTATTCGTGTTTGAAAAAATATTATTTTATCAGGAAAATCATCTTTCTAACAATTGTGAACTTGTCTCCCTTCGAGGAGTTACCCAGAGACAGAACAATTTCAAAACTCGATGGTTAATAAAGAAGTTGTTGATAAAGAATTTGATTTGCTAAAGTCTGAGTATAAAAGAAAACTTTTCTTTGGTGATTTGCGCTGTCGAAAACAAAATTTTCAGAAAGAAGAAAGGGAGAGGGAGAGAAAAGTTGCTGCAAGTTTGAACCTTAAGATATGAAATGTCTAATGATGCGAACAATCGTGATGTTTTACTTCGTGTTGATAGTCAAAGCGCTAGATACAGAGCGGATAAGTATCGATAATTATCTCCCGCTGATTGTTGATGTCCACAAATATTATTATACATCGTGTGTTATGTTCGTTCATCACGACAATTATCAAGGTAGGTATCAAAAATTCTTATTATTTTATATTTTCGTCCAGTTTTTATACCAATTGCGTGATATAGATCTGAACATAACAACAATGGTACACACTTGGTCGCGCGAATTTTCGCGGCGGGGTGTCATGACCGTGACTTCTACTTTCCTGAGCTTGGTAACTGATTACAAATACTACAAAAATATCGTGCGGCCACTGTTCGTCATTCTTCTGGACAGCAAGGAGAGCATCGACGGTTTTGCTAATACCACGAGGAATTTAAGATCCATGTCCTCTCCCGCTTGGCTTGTCTTATTCCTTCAGTTTTCCGGGTCCTCTCTCAATACATCTTGTAGACATCCTGTCGACAATATATTCAACGTGAACTTCAACACCAAGATGTTGGTCCTTTGCTACGACCAGCCAGTTTTAACTGAATGGTACGCTGTGAACGATAATCATACCAGGACATCAGAGTTGGCCACGTGGAGCGCTGATAAGGGTCTAATTTTAATAAAACGAAAAAGTTTCTACTCCAGAAGGGATAATCTGTTCGGCAAGGTTGTGCGCGTGGCATTCGTATATGTAAGCTATATTTTTCTTTATTTTTATTGAAAACTTTTTTTAAAATATTGAAAATTAAGATATTATTTTGAGGAATAATACGTGCTTGGAAGCACGTATAAATCCGTGAATCCAGCAAATAACTCTGTTAATAAGTAAAAACGCGTTTGAAGGAACCACCGTTTATCTTCCTGAAGAACGGCACGATTGCCGGGCTCCTCGGAACGTTGATATTGGAGCTCAGCAAAACGATGAATTTCAAGATGCAGCTTCTGGATCCGATGGAATTGTACGGCAGCTGGGACCAGCAGCAGAAGTTGTGGACCGGCGTGATCGGCCAACTAGTGACCGGCCAAGCCGACATCGGCATTGGAATGTTTTCGATGATGCCGCACAGACTTGATGTGATAGACTTTACGCTGCCGTTGACATACTCGCGGAATCATCTCTACCTAAAGCAGCTTGACGATTACAAAGTGTATTGGCTCGGCTACTTGAAGGTAAAGATTATCGTTTGTATTTTGATAGCTGTCACTGAAATTCACGATGAAGTAAAATAAATATTTTTACAACATATCATTCTTTCAGGTATTTGATTTCGGAATTTGGGCAATAATATTGACAATAATCATGTGCTTCCCTATTTTGTTGATCATTATAAAAGCAAAGAGATACATCTCACTAAATTCGATAATAGAGAACTATACGAACGTTTGGGGCATCTTTTGCCAGCAGAGTCTACCAAGTAATGTACTTTTTTTTAATAGCGCATTATTAAATATAATATAATTACATGTTTCTTTCATAGAATTTCCCGATGAGACACCGATGAGGTTGGCTATCTTTTCGATTTTTATTGCGTCGTTAGTAATTCAGGCTGCCTATTCCGCTTCGTTCATCAGCTTTCTGACACACCCCGTGATCAATCTGCCTTTTTCCACCGTTGAGGGTTACATCGCGGATGGCTCTTATAAATTAATCGTTACCAAGGACAGCGCCGAATATGACTTGTTTTATGTAAATCCATTATTGTTATCTATCGTGACGCGAAAAGTAGAAATTAATGTTCGTATAATGGCGTTACCGATTCTAGAGGTTATAAATTTAATTCTCTCAATAATTTTGACATAAACATAAATGTATTCTCTCTCTTTCTTTCTCTCTTTCTTTCTCTCTCTCTCTCTCATGCAAAAATTCTGAGGAGAGGTTGAATTAATTTTCATGTTTATCACAAAGCACCGGTTTTCAGAAAAATCGTGTTACATCGTGTCGTGTCGTGTAGAATTACGTTTGTTTATTAGGTGTACAACTTTGCTTCCGCCGTTTTTTTCCGAAATTCGAGGCTTTATTGTAAAAAACTGGTTATACATTTATGATTCAAAGTATTGTCCATCGCTGGCCACTACTTTCTCCCATCTTTCGGGCAGAGTACGAATCCCGCATCGAAAAAACTGGTCATCTTTTGAGGCGATCCACGAATCGATCCAATTTTTTACTTCTTCATAAGACTGGAAGTGCTGGTCAGCCAGGTCGTGTGCCATTGATCGAAACAAGTGATAGTCAGAGGGAGCAACGTCTGAAGAATACGGCGGGTGGGGTAGGACTTCCCATTTCAACGTTTCCAAGTATGTCTTGACCACTTTTGCAACATGGGATCGAGCATTGTCATGCTGCAAAATCACTTTATCGTGTCTCTCGTTGTATTGCGGCCGTTTGTCTTTCAATGCTCGGCTCAAACGCATTAATTGCGTTCGATACCGATCGCCTGTGATTGTTTCAGTCGGTTTTAACAGCTCATAATACGCCGAGCTGGTCCCACCAAATACAGAGCATGACCTTGGAGCCGTGAATATTCGGTTTGGCCATCGACGTGGAAGCATGGCCGGGAACTCCCCATGATTTTCTGCGCTTGGGGTTATCGTAATGAACCCATTTTTCGTCCCCAGTCACAATGCGATGCAGAAATCCCTTCCGTCTTTGCCTTTCAAGCAGCTGTTCACAAGCAAACAAACGCCGTTCAACATCTCTCGGCTTCAATTCGTACGGCACCCAATTTCCTTGCTTCTGAATCATTCCCATGGCTTTGAGGCGTTTTGAAATGGCTTGTTGAGTCACTCCCAATGATCGTGCCAATTCTTCTTGATTTTGACACGAGTCTTGATCAAGTAATGCCTCCAATTCTGCATCTTCGAAAACCTTCTCTCTTCCACCGCTATGCCGGTCTTCGACGTCAAAATCACCGTTCTTGAAGCGTTGAAACCACTCACGACACGTTCTTTCACTAATAGTGGCCTCACCATAAGTATTTGAGAGCATTCGATGAGCTTCAGCCGCAGATTTCTTCATATTGAAGCAGAAAATTAAAACCTCCCGCAAATGACGAGAATTTGGCTTGTAAACTGACATTTTCAATCAAGAATAACTTTATGATGCAGACAGAAATCGACTAATGTTTCTATGGGGTTATGTTGACAGATGTCCAAGTTTATTGTATGACGTCTATGATCTATTTATTTCGACCACCACTTACCGCTAAAGCCATCTATAGGAAAACGGCGAAAGCAAAGTTGTGCACCTAATATTTTATTCATTGATTAATAAAAATTATTTTATCTTATTTTAATTATAATTATTTTTTTGGTTCTTTAAAATTACTTATTGATTACAGACCGCCAAGAATCCCATCTTAGTAAAGATGAACGCGACGATGAAGGAGAAGGAGCAGTTGCCGCTCGGACTGACGAACGCATTCCAGCAAGTTAGTTATAGTTTCTTTTAATAGGATAAACTAGTCTCTTTGCATTCATTCACGCACAACTCTCGTGCAGATTTGTAAGGAGAAGAACGTAGCGTTTTATACGGCAGGGGCGAATAACGTCGTGGAGGTGCATTGTAAAATCGTGTCTATCGAAACCGCTGAGACAGACAGCATGGCGATAATTCTTCAGAAGGGAAGTCCTTACACTGGCATCATAAATTACCAGTGAGTTCGTAAAATGCATATTAATTATATTAATTATTAATTTACAGCTGAGAACGTCCTGTTGTTGAACGTAGAGGAAAGTAGCCAAAAGCGACATAGGCCTAAAGCGACATACTTCTATATCTCATATATTAAATGTTGTATTTTATCGAAACTAATATAAACGTAATTTGTTTTATCAGTTAAATCATGAAAAATTCATATTTGGTATATTTCTTGTTCTTTTATGTGCTAAATTAGCAAATATCGAGTTTTAGAAATTTGTAAGTTTTATTTCTATGATTTTTATTGACGAATTATGTACACTAAACAGCGATAATTATCTTTTTGTTCAATATTAAATTTTTCTACATACATTTGGCTTTTGTAAACATATTTTTTGAATATTTTTATCTTCATTATTTTTTTACTTATTTTTTTTTATTACTTTTTATAACTTGAAAAATTTTATGAAAATGTGTCTTAAAGTGACATACACCCTACAGTATGCGATAGGTGCAATACTCTGTGACTAACATAACCTGATTCTAACCTCCCATTGTGACGTGACATTTGTTTATTTTAAAGTTAATTTTGTTTAGTTTAAAAATATGATATATGTAAAATGTGAGAAATGAAAAAGATGGAAATGCCAAAAATATATTTTTATTTAATTATATTTCCTTTTTATAACATTATATTTTGAATAAATGAATATTATTCAACCATTAAACGTATTAATGAACTATTTATTATTATAAACTGAAATAGAAAGCTCCTTGAAAATAGATAAACTAATAGTGAGAAATTAACGGCACATACGGAGCAAGCACGGATGTTTAGTGCTATTAAATACTAATATTACTTTATTTAATATTAATATGATTGTGGGAGGATAAAATTGTCCAGTATGTTAAACGCACGTATCGAAATTTTTCTTCGATTATCGTACGCGGAGAATCACCTTCCATACTTGGACCGATCCTTGAGTCCCAATTTTAATGGGGGTTTGGGATTTTAATAAAAATATGTATTTAAAAATTGGGACTCAAGGATCGGTCTAAGTATGGAAGGTGATTCTCCGCGTACGATAATCGAAGAAAAATTTCGATACGTGCGTTTAACATACTGAACAATTTTATTCTCCCACAATCATATTAATATTAAATAAAGTAATAGTAGTATTTAATAGCATTAAGACATCCGTGCTTGCTCCTTATGTGCCGTTAATTTCTCACTATTATTTATTATTAAATATTATCATATATGGAACATGTTATATAACTTCCAATAGGTATATCGCTTTTGGCACCCAGTTTCTTTGAACTTCATTTTCGTGCATTTTACAAAAACACTTTTTGTCTTAAATCTAGAAACCAAAATTTCAGTAAAAATATATTATCTAATAGGGGGTACTTCCAACTACATATATATATTTACATTTATATTTTGAACTTTATATTAAGACATAACCTCCAAAAACAAAGTGGTATGTCGCTTTTGGTACTTTTGGTACTCTGTGCATCGGTGGCCTCCTATCCTTCACTTTTTCTTCCTCGTTCTATTGAATTACATTTTTTAGCATACGACGATTTCTGGACCACGGTGTTCTGAATAGAATGAAAAAGAATTATCTCTCAATTGTCAATTCGCCGGAGGTCAAGCACAACGAGGTTGAATTAGATGATGTAGTGCCGCTTCTAGTGATGGTGGCAGGCGGTATGATCCTGGGAATATTTATTCTGATGCTCGAGAAAGCGTATTACGTTTTCAAGATTAGGCGCAAGAACGGCTTCATTAAGAAGCCGAGCGATAAATTTGATGTGAAACTGCGATGGGGAAACACCCGAAAAAATTTATGGCTTCAACGATTTTACGGTATACACTACGGAAGAACGATCGGCCATTGGCCGTAAAGTTGTTGAAAAATAGGAGACTCTTAAGAAATTCCTACACGCATCGTTGATACTTATCACAGTAATAATTACACTTCAGTAAGAGCAATCTACAATGTGTCACTTGACTATTTATTTCCCCATTTAATTATTCCTTTACTTTTATTCAAATTTATTCTTAGCAACTGTACTTCTATCGGTATCTGTTTGCCTTTCGGAATACTTGGTTTTCTTGCTGGAGCACAAAGGCCAGTGCAACGCGGCGTGCACAATGCGTGCGTTTAAGTATGAACTAAATTTAAGTTCCCCGACCGGAATCGCGTCGGCTTGTATAAACCAGCCTTCGTTAACCCCCATGGCTCACGTCGTGCCATTTTCTCCTTTCTTCCCCGTGTCACGTGCGAGTAACAATGATACGGGCGCATTCTCGGTAACTAGTAATGCGTGCGTTTTTTCCATCGCGCAACGCGCATTCTCTGTTTCGCGAAATCGCTTTCACCGCAAATATAGGAGCGATCGTCGTCGTTGCAGCATTAGCGAGGAAAAATCCACTGTTACGAGAGCTATGAATATGAGAGATCGTCGCTGACGATCTTCGCGACAAGATCTATCCAGAAATACGTTTCGCGGAGGTCGTCATCTGGACGTCATTCGAGGAGGAGCACGCTGACCCTCATCATGTTGCGAAAAGCGATTTACATGAGAAGAAGGCAGGGCGGATTGCACAATGGCGATTACGCTTCTGGTTAAGACACGCCGCTGGTGAGAGCACGTCGATTCATAAAAGAAAAGAGAAACGAAGTAATAAAATAAAGTCAAAAGAGGCGTATGACCTACGACCTTTGGCGAAATTCGCCCACGCGGATCTTGCCCACGCGAATGCAACGAGGTATGCCCGACGTCTGATTTACAAGAACGTAAACGCCCTCCTGATTTCGTGTGCGTGTCACAGTCTCGTCAAAACGCGGCACGTGCGCGAGCTTCGAGTATTACCTTACGTGAAGCCGCGTAGGAGTGCTCTCGCAGTTATAAAACACGATCGTCCCTAAAATCCGGCGATTCTGTAGTTGCATGAGGACAACAGTCAATCCAACGGCTCGCTGAGCAAGGAACTCTTGCGATCTGTGCATGTTGAATATAAAAAATAAGAAAGTCCTGGCTTAACGTTGCTGATTCGTTAGCGAAGTTTTTTTAATTATGATATTGCAAATAAAATTTTATTATTCATACTCTTAATTCGATATTTAATCCTAGAAACCTAAATATCAAAAAGTTACGCGAACACTAAGCATGGATTAATTTATCCAGTATAGTTTCATTTTCTCGTAACTCCTGAAAAAATGATAAAAATTCAATTCTTTTTTAGTCAGCGTAGAAAACATTGAAAAATAAATTTACCAATGTTTTTACGTTTTAATGAACTTAAGAAAAATTATAATAAAGAAACAAAACACATATTCTTAAGAAAGGTAACGTTTGGACAGTCTAAGGGCCGATTTTTCAATGGTAGTTTAAACTTAGATTTCAACTTAAACTTAGATTTAAACTCTGTTTAAACAAAACAAACGCAATAGAGTTTAAACTTGAATCCAAGTTTAAACTGCTATTGAAAAATCGCTCCTAAATAAATTTCATCCATGTTAACGAAACAATATGTGATATCTCTCCCGCTCGCATTTATAAATTATTGCTTTATCGCGATCGCTATTCAAATTGGCAAGATTACGAATGTATCAGTAAAGAATAGCAAAAAGTGTACTCGCTTCTTACAGTTTCCTGCAATTTGTTCGACGCGCATTCAGGTAGCATCGCCGTCGGCGGGCTCACCGGATGCGTACGAGCACGCGCTGTGTTTCCGCTTTCGGTTTGACCGGAAGTGACCTTTGCCTCATTAGAAAAAACTTGCACGCGCGCATCAATCTCCTCCAGCGAAGCCGACGGCGGTCGGCAACGAGGCCGCTTGAATATGTACGAGCGAGACGAGAGCGAGCCGCGTTGCCTTTATCGTTGCCTTTACCGAAGATCGCAATGATAGCGTTGATTATTAATTAGGTATGAACGCGTCTTTCGCGAATCTCAGTCTCATCTGGTGAGAAATTCAAGCTGAACAGCACGCGATGGTCACACGAGGCTGCAGCAGGATTCGGCGTCTTCTATCACCGGACTCACCTTGAATTCCGTTAAGGGAGTATTCTAGTGTGACGGGTCCAAAAAATCGATTCTTCTTTTTTGCATATTTTTATAGTTTGGAGTCTTAAAAATATGTCCCTAAAATATTAAGATGAAATTCGTTAAATTGACCGAGCTATAAGGTTTAAAAGACGCAGCTTCCATACTGCGCGTCGATTGAGATGAATAACGAAGTGTTAAATGACATCCAACCTGTTTACGAAGATTTAACTACCGATGATCTTATTACAGCGATGCCTCGGATCATTTACTCAGAATAATAACAAAAGTTTATATTCATTAATCATCATCTTCTCAGAATAATAACAAAAGTTTAAATTTATTTGGACAATTGCACCAAAATATCTGTATTGTAGAAAGAAGTCGGTGAAAATTGCTACTTTTTTGGCTGTTTGCCTGTTTAATGAATAATTGTAAAAATAATGGACGTAATGGGACTAAAAATCGGTCAAAATACACAATTCCTCGCGGATAACAGAGACAATGAGCACATTAAACGTTCGGAGCAGCGGGCGTCGTACGAGTCGAAAGAAGCAAGAATTGCTAAGAGACAAGGGAAGACTGACAAACATGAGTTCTTTGAAGTTGAGGAAGGTCTTTTGTATAGCCTTGGTATAACTGATAAAGAGTAAGTTACTGAAATTACACATTATCCACCTCATAAGTGCATGAGAATCTTTAAACGCGTTTTTCTCGAAACGACATTTTTCAAATCAGACAAGCATTTCTCTTAAAAACTACCGGGTCTATTAACTTGCAATTTTGCACACATATAGTGCACATATTAGGTTATCGCCCGAACTAGAATCTTTTTGATAATTTTAAAATTACTATTTTTCCGGACCGCGAGAAGTTATAATTTTTAAGTAAAAATCAGTCTACTATTTTTCAAGTGCTGCCATTTTGTCAATTTTTCTTCAAATTATTTCATTCTAGTTCGCGCTATAGCTATATTCATACTAAATAAAAGCAAATTCGTTTATTTCAGATGAGGAGGATGGCGCCAATCAATTCGCTTGATAGAAGACGATTTTATTGCGTGACCTGTTACGTCCACTTATATTTTCTTCAATTTTGAATAAAAAGCTTTGAAACAATTTGAGATGTTTCTTTAAAGATGAAGAAATGTCAGTACAAAACATGAACTCTGTAGGTCGGACCATTTGCTTTAAATTAAATCCTAAAAGTCGCCTTGAAAACGGGCCTTCACACGAGAATACCCTTTTAAGCGCGGCGAATGCAATTACACGTCTAAACGAATTACCAGGCGAATTTTTGCGTTTCTCATGCAGAATACGTTTAAGCACGTGTGCGCGTCCATACGGTCTGCTCGGCATAAGAGACAGCGTCGTGAAATCTGTCTCCCCTCTTTGTGTAATTACATTGAATGCTGACGCGAGCAATTAAACGCACTTGTTTGTTGAACGGAACATCGATCGATACGGGCACGTTTAAACAAGGACACAAGAAGTCGTTAACTCTGATCGTGTAAAAATAACAGAGCACAGAGACTGACTGTCTCTTGGCTTCTATCCTCAACTCTTTATCACATAGGGTAAACTTGGATAAAATGACCATATTTTTTTAAAATGTAAAAAAATACATTTTTTATTGTTATTTCTGTATAGCGTTTGGCACATTATTTCACTGAAGTCTACAGTACATAATATTATTAGAGTTAAAGGGAAAATACTTCATTGAAATTATTTATCACAAAAATATCAAAATATGTGAGCATTGGCCATCTTACCTGAATTTTTCAGATAAAATGGCCATAACATTAAAGAATAGATGGCCCATACATATTTTATATTCAAGATGTACCTATTATTTTAAAATAATGAAACAAACATAATTTGATATATTTATTTTAATATAAGATATTTAATATATATATTATTTGTGAAAGATATATTACACATATAAAATAGAAACTTTTATTATAGAACTTAAAATTCTAAATGCAATCTTTTGATCAAAACATATTGCACATAAGAATTAATTACTATAATATTAAAAATAATTTCTGAAACATAACGACTTTTGTTTTATAAATGTTTTGTGATGTTGCAGCGGTGCAGCTGCATTTGTATTTTGCGGCAAATGGAGGATGGCTCGTCATCAGTTTATAGAATGATATTGGACCATCTTACCTAAAATGTGAGTGAAAGACGGCCATAGTATTTATAAACAAATAGCAAAAACAAAAATAAAAATTGCATGTTATATTACAATTTATATATTTCTTTATATATCTAACGTTGATTGCGATAGCTTAGAGCAAATTTTAGTGGTCACAAAAAGTTTTACAGGTAGTTGAAAATAAACATATAGTAAAATATACATAATTTTGCTATTTCGAAAAATATATATACACACATACATTACGATAAATATCGATTATCTTTGTGACTGATTACACAAACGCAATGTTTTGCAATTATTAGAGAAATTACAACCTATGGCTATTTTTTCCGGTATGGCCATGATACCCGAGTTTACTCTAATAAAGGACTTTTTATCATATCATTGATTAACGTTGCGTGAATGTAATCTCCATGTAATAGAAGGATTCGATGAATCGTTCGCTCGCTGCATTTCCGGAACAAGCGTTCGATGATGGAAAAAATGATAGGTGTCTCAGACTCATTGGTGATGGAAGCGGCACGAGACGGCTGCACACGAGACTTAATGATGAATCTCCGCGTCGCGGAATCGCGCGGCCTCGAGATGCATTCCGCCGATATGATTGTCTATCGTCGCCGACGATCGACAACTGCCGTTGCAGGAGAAAAACAAAAATCCCTAAGAGACAGACGGACAGACCGGTCCGCACGTGGTAGTCATTGTTGGCGCGTTGTGTCATCTCTGGGCTTGTCCAGAATGCCATTGCGTCGCGCGCGCGCGCGTGCCGCAACGAGAGAGTTTCTGCGGCCGATCGTAATAATAACAATAATTACGAACTAGGAAACAATAACGTCGTCGGTAATGACGATTGTTGCGAAGGGAACAATGACGACGACGATGTCGTTGACAAACGGGAAGCCGGTCCGAGAGATGAAGTCATAAATGGTGCGCAGTGGCGTCTCTCGACGGGTCTGGGGATCGCTTCTTACGGTTCTGAGGATCTCATAAAATTCAGAGAAAGGAGAAATAATAAGGGGAAACCGTATCGTGTGTTGTCACAATTTAATACAGCTGCCATAGACAAAATAGTTTGCGATACATTGAAATTAGGAATAATTAATCAATAGCGGTGTATGATGTAATCAAACATTATGTGCTTATTTAGGCTGACTGAAATTTTTTTATTATATTCCTTAGAATATTTTATTTCTCAACTTTTTATAATTTCATCTTCGCCTATTCAAGTCTAATAAAACATTATAATTTCTTTACATCAATGACTCTTACGGTTTTTACGTTTCGCGAATCATGAAAGGTATAATAATAATATTATGATAAGACATCTCAGAATCGATTGCTTTAATAGTATTTATGTTACAACGAAGGAAACAGTTATTATCATGCAGAGTAGCGTGGTAGAGTAGTGGGAAGATCAAAAGAAATGCTTTGGTAAATCCGCCACTGGAGCCTCTTCGACTACCGCGAAGCTCATTAAGTGTTCGAGAGCGTAGGAAGATGTTAGCTTCGCGCTGGATCATTTGTTCTTATGAGATATCGCCGACTAATAGTTTTTAAAGGAAGCAACAGCAATTACCACTGCATGGGTGAGAATTGCGAGCTCGATAAAAATATGGATACGTTGTCCTCGATTCCGAGATCGTTAGGTATTATCTAACTGTTCTCTCTTATTAGATATCGAAGAATCTAATAATTAAATTATCAGACGCTTGTACACACACACAGACACACGTACCGACTTCGTGCATCAGCCTCCTGACAAATAGCTTAATTAGTAGAACATAGCTAATTGACGTGACGTATATTGTTACAGAAAGAAAGCAATAATTCATTTACATTGAGAGTATAAAACTGATTCACTTGAAGTTAATCAATAAAGATGTTTTTAATTAAATCAGCAAAAGCGGTATTTTATCAATAATCAGCGAATATTGATTGATCTTTAATGGAAATACTGTCACTTTACTGCTCTATTTTGTATCTCACTGATTTTGATCAGAGGAAGCAAGATTTTATCACGAAATCTGTAGTACACAAATTTGTTATACGCTGTGTCAAATCCAGCTTTTTGCCTTTGTGACGGTGGAATTAACGACTTCCGTGCTATTTACGTGCAATGCAACTGTCTGCGTTTGCAAACTGCATCAATAATAAAAACAATAACTACTATTAACTGATTCTGATTCTTTCAGCGAGATTTTATTTATTGCAGTGCTATATTTATAACTCAACTGCTGTAACTATAGTATTTTATTGAAAAATACATTGTACATTGATTGTACTTAGAGAATAAGCATTTTAGTACAGAAAGAATTATTAGATTTACCTATTATTGATTATAATGTATATTCGAGAGTCTAGACAGCACAGATGAAATATTATCTGATTGCGTTTTACAACAGAAAGAGAAACGATTAGCTGCTACATGGATGTAGGTTGTATTATATTACGTAATGATGATACTTTCATTGACTTGAAATCGAAGTTTAGACATCCTGCTCCTCGTCAGAGTCATTGTTTGTCATAAGCGACACAATGTCAATATTCTGTTTATTCAGCGTCAAAACTGAAAGTACTGCCGGCACTCGATCAACGTCGTGACACAAGTGCCATTGCGAAACCGTCGGTCGTAAAAGCGCTTAATTGTCGTAGCACATTTTTTGCCTAAAATAGACAGCTATCAGGGTCCGTTCGTCGCTTTCAACGAGACTCTGCTTATCTAGGAGAATGAGAATATAGGATTTCTCTCTTTCTATTGTTCACGTTCCACGTTCTCTTTCTACGTTATCGTTGTTTGTCAATTCTCAATCCCCTCGCTCAAGTCAATTTTAAGTTCCTCATCCTAAAATTAATTCGTAAACTCGATCTCTCTTTCATTTTCTTTCTGCTTTATCATTTTTATTTATTTCAGGATAGAACAAATCTGTATAAATCTCTGTTTATCATTCTTTTTCTCTCTCTCTCTCTCTCTCGCCAACGTCGACGGCGACCCACGTATATCGAGGGTCGCGTGGGTGTGGGTCACGCTTGTGCACGTACAGTGGGGAGTTGTGTGGTACGGAAACCCCACCGCCGCGCTGGAATGGAATGGAAAGGAAAAGAGTAGTGTACCTACGGAGCTGCCTGTGCCGTAGACGCGATTATGTTTCGTGTCTGGAGAACCCATTCAGTGCTTCTCACGGCACGAGGGCACATGGTACGGTCGCGATCGTCGCAGTCGTCTCCGCGAGTGGCACGCACATGGTGGTGCACCAAAGTGGAGCGAAGATAAGCCCGCCGAGGAAGTCGAGGAAGGATACAGTGAGAGAAGATAAAGGCAGACAAGTGAGAGAGCAATCTCAAATTATATGAACGACGATAGAGAATATATAGGGATGAATTTCTCTCTCTTCTTTTTTTAATATATTAGATATCGTAAAAGACGTCGAAGATATTTTGCAGATATATCACACAGATACACGTAAAAAATATATTCTTGAATATGTAAAGTAACAAACGTAATGACGTATATAGAAATAATAACATTCATGAAAATAAAAATATTTATAGAAGCGTGTAATTGAATAAATAATAATAAAACAAAAAAGGAATAAAGTAAAATACTTAGAAGACTAGAGAGAGATTTTATTTAACTTGTTTTCTCTTTTGTATTTTCGGCTTTTTAAAATATCGCGCGAAAAAGGGCGTTGGGGTAGGTCAGAAGACACTGAGGGCGCAACGTGGAAGAAACAGACAGAGAGAGAGAGAGAGAGAGAAAGGGAAAGACACTATTATGTAGCGAACATAGCGACGGTTGCTGCTGACCTGCACAGGTACGCACTTTCGGAAGTGATTCGGCGCGTGTCCGGCAGCGTGATGTGAAAAGTTTGGTTCCGTGCCAATTAGTGATAGTGCGACGCCGTGAACGCGTTCTTGTCGATAAAATTTCCACGAGTTTCATGCTGAACAGTGCTGATTCGCGCTCTCTTCGCGTCGACACATCAGCGTGGATTCTTAAGTAGTGCTACTACGTCGTGAAGGTATGCAGGTACCTGGGAAGACGAGAGTTAGAACAGCAGAATGACCCGAAGGTTGAGTTGAAAATTCGCTGACTTTCGACCTCAGGATCGCGCTGTGAAACGGCAACTCGACTGTCACGAAGGTAATTCCAACTAATTAGCGACTTGACGTTAATTAGGACCGATTCGTGACGTTGCGGCCTTAGGGGGAGGGTCAGCATTATTGACATCAGTAATTTGCATTGGCGCGAGCCACACAAATAAGCCGAGGCATGAGAGAGGGAGGGTAAATACGACGTCTATTTTAGCCGCGTGTTCGACATTTTTGCTGAAGCAGAGAATGAATGAAAAATCGAATCAAACCGAATTCAATTGAATAATTCTCGCGTGCTCTGTAGAGAAAGTACAGGTAATTAAATGTAACAACGGCCGTTTCTTTGCGATCGGTATGGAAAGAGTTATCACCGAGTTTGCGGACTTGGAGAAATTTTTCCGCGGGAGAGTCACGTTCTCGCAGCGGAATCTCGAATTGATCGTTTCGCGCGTGGTCTCGCGGTCAATATAACAGTCGACCGTTATCCCATCGTAGATAACGATTATAAATATTCCATTAAGGACGAGATTATTTTTACGGGCAAGGTGAAAAAAGCGCGGACTTGCAAATAAGCCGTTGTTACTCACGGAAGTCGGGGACTAGTGGGTTTCCAAGCGTGGAACAGTAGGAGAAGTATGCGCCGCACAGTATAGCAGATGCGATCAGAAATTTTAATTAAACCGTTATGATCGTTCTCCTCGCGTGCGCGATCTCGTACGCGCGAAGCGTCGACTTTCCGCAGGAAAAAAAAATTGTGTCGATTCGATTAATGTCGCTCGCGCACATGAAACGTGACGGAGCACGTGACGTTGTCTCCGACGAAGGATGAATTACGTCGACTTTTCCACCTGACGGGAAGCGTTGTGGTTTTTTTCTTTCTTCGAATGTGACAGCACAGCTTTTAATTAGCGAAGGACGAATTGTCTCGCCTCGATCACGCACGCATGGACTTTTATGAGCGGAATAAATCGCGCGGCTACCGTGTTTCGACGAACGACAATCCATGTTGTTGATTCGATTACGTCACTAGAATGGCTTCGGAAACAGCGCGTAAATGAAGAGGTAGTGAGCCGAGCCTCGTTGCGCTTCTTTCTAGGACAGATCGTTGTTGCACCGCCTTGCAACGCGACGAGAACGGTTTACCGTCAGTTCTCATCCACTTACGCACAATTGGATCATTCAAATCCGTTCAGGATAGCTATGATTTGCGGAGAGGAAGTCGATCCGCTAAGTTTCACACGGAGATTGGTGGATGTGCGATTCGCATTGTACTCGCCGGGGTAATCAAGGCGCTGCGACATCTGACTAAGGAAAAGACTGAGCACAATTATTAGAGTCGCGGTTAAATATAGCCTTGGTAGTTACTTTCGGTTAAATATACGGCGGTCAGAGAATGTCCGTGATCATCTCTCTTTCGAACGGATTCGAATGCTTCCTCGAGTCGCGTTGAGTCGAGTGTGTGAGAGTGAAAATATAACCGATACTAAAAAAATCTTTGTATAAAATATTTTTGAAAATTTCGTTTTAGTAATACATTTTTTGTATTTTTTTGAGTGAGTTGCGTTAAACTGAAAATAATATGTCACAATGTTACACACTGAGAAAAAATACTTGAAAATTTCTTTGTAGGATAAAAGTTTATTTTACAAATAAATTTTTCACAAAAAAAATTGTTTTCAGTGTAGCGAGAGACAAATTTAATTTAATTACATAGATTATATCTTTAATCATTTGTACTTTTTCTTTCTTTTCATTATATATGGTTATTATATATGGATTCCTACATCGATTTACAATTGTTGAATCCGCCGTTGCCTGTAAATACAAAACGAAATCGGCGTTTCACGTTATTGCAATTACATCTTATTAGAATCACCAATATTTTATTTTGAATTTCATACCAATATGCTCGTTCAGTTCTAATTTATTCACGGCTCTCGACTTAATCCTGAACCTCCTAAGCATTCTGTCAGGTACTTCGGTTAACAAAGAGCCTACCGAGCGAAGAGAACGGGAGCAACGCACTTTACGGCGCGGAAAACCGTAAAATCATCCGTTCGCGTTCTAATGGAAAATGCATGAATTTTCTTGTTGCAGGCCTCAACGAGAGACCGGGCGCGACCGCAAGTCGGACTTTCCCGTTATTGGATCACTGCGGGCGGGAGGGAAGAAGCGGCAATTTGTCCGTCCGTTGGCGCGGGATTTTGCGAATCTCTCACGGTTCCTCGAGATAAACAGACCAGGTGAATCCGCGGTTAATCGCGCGCTCCCTCTTTCTCTGGCGCGCGGTTACTCGCGCATGAACGCGCGCTGCCGGAAGCATAAAAAGCGTTGACGTGTGATGGACGATTTCGGATTTCGCCGTGCGCTCGGCCGTAGTCGCGCGCACGGGAAACGACGTCTATTCCGTTAAACGCGTGCGAAGTTCGCGCACTTATTCGCATCTTCCCTCGAGCGAGCGAGCGTCACACAGCGTGACGGATTCGCGGATTTAGGTACACCGGTCGCGATAATGATGATCGCGGGAGCGACTCGCTGGCCATTTTAGGTGATCGTGATCGTCCAAGATATAAATGTTGATCCTATTCACTCGAGGAGCAACTTCGGATTACGCATCGGGCCTCTTCTTACGATTCTTGTCTCGTTTTACGTTTGCACGAATAAAAAAAGTTACTTGCCATTCTTACGGTATAATTTTTAGATAAAATAGAGAGCGAATGGTCCGGTCAACCTTCGCGAGGGAAGAAGACAGATTTTGAAATGAATTTTTCATGCTCCTTCTTTTTGAAGAATATGAAATTTACATAATGCATCTGGCGAATATGATAACGAATTAGTAACAAGTCTCGTCTGTCGTGGATGACGGAGAATTCGGAAATTACAAATTAAAATTTTTTATGTTTCTGGTTCATTGTACGCTTTATCGTTGTATAATTTATTACAGTCGAATATCTTTATTCTTTCATTGAATAAACTAAAAAAGAGAATAGATCTTTAATCTTACTTTTTTAACGATGCGCGAAGGATAAAATTATATATATATATATATATATATATATATATACACAGGGTGTCTCACACTCTCCTTCGGGCATTTTGTGGGGACGTAGAATGGGTTGATGTGAACATAAAAATCCTATACCGTTTTGCGATATTCGCAATAATTATCGAGATATTAATTATTGAAAATTTGTGAATGATCATGCAGGATATGATAAATGAGTTATAATAGCGACGACTGCCGTCGTGTATGTATACTTTAGGTCAAATTGAACAAAAGAGTTCCCTACCATTTTACAAATAATCACATAGATTTTTAATTATTAATTAAAGAAGATGAGTGCATTATCACGCAAAATCGTGCAATAATTTTCTTTAATTAATAATTAAAAATCTATGTGATTATTTGGATAATGGTAAAGGACTTTTTTGTTCAATTTGACCTAAAGTATAAGTACACGAGGGCAGTTGTCGCTACTATAATTCATTTACCATATTTTGCACGATCATTTACAAGTTTTCTACAATTAATATCTCGATAATTATTGCGAATATCGCAAATAAACAAAATGCCCGGAGGAGAGTGTGAGACACCCTGTATATATATATATATATATATATATATATATATATATATATATATACACGTTCAATAAATAATTAAATTATATGAGACAGTTATGTTACTAATTAAGTTTCTTCCTAGTAAATTCAAGCCAAATCAAAAGGATATAGGATTAGCAAATGCTAACTTAATAGGCAGTTTTTGCAATACCATCTTTCAGATATGGTAATGTTAAAGTATGTTTCGATATTGAGTATTGAGTAACTGTATATTCGCCAGTACTGCGAATATACAGTTTGTGTATCCTATAGATTTGAAATACTGACACTAACTATCGGAACGTACTTTAGCGTTACCGTATCTGAGACACGATATTGCAAAGGCTTTCTATTTAGTAGGTATTAACTAATTAAATAACTAATTAATATCTAATTAATAACTAGTTAAATAACTGATTAATAACTAATTAAATAACTGAAGTAAAGACGATAGTGTTGCCGATTAGGCTCGTCGTAATTAACTGCGAATCCGAAATGAAACTAGCTCCACAGTCGGCATATATTTAATCAAAATTATAAGACAGACCACCGCTAATTACATGTGTTCGTTATCTGATGACGTTGCCGAGAGTTTCGCGCTTTTGTTTTCTCCATTAACTCGCGATCCATACTGATAGAACATAATTAGACCTAGCGGAATCCTGTGCTTAGTAATGAGTAATTCGTGGCTAGAAGAAGTTCGAAGCGAGCAAGTAAAGCAGGTCCTCAGTTATCTTGCGCAGATATTATGCCAGAGCGATTATACGACTCCGAATTTATCACTCTTAAATCATTGGTTCCTTTACAAGCTACAGAGAATGCCTTTTTGCGTCTTTAATTAAGATTTCTCCAAATTACTCATCCAAATCAAAATTAATTTTATGAATTTCATTTAAAAAATATTGCTTGTATTACCGGTCGACATTCCCAGAAAATCCGGAGGACTAATCCTTGAATTTTGCTCGTCTTCTTCAGACGGAGGAAATCTTGCAAATTATAGACCAGCTCCACTTGCAGCTAGCTTGGCAGCTTATGCAGCGCCTTAAGAAGGACGAAACGCCTGGGATTGCGTCACGAGGCTTATATCACGTCGGCGACGGTACTCGCATAGTAATGTCGATAATGACGACGATCGATCTGTCTCGTTCCCAGGAGGCATCGCGGTCGTTCCGTGCGGCCGTTCGCGCTGGCCATTTATGGCAGCTCGAGACGCGCGCTCTCGGCTGTCAACCCTCGATCTGCCGTGATCGAGCGATCCGCGATCTTGCTATTCGCGATTAGAATGCGCGCCGGACGTCGATTAAAATGCAGCCGCAGCCTGAACGGCGTTTAACGCGGACGATCGCGCGTGTTAACTCGCGCGACACCCACACATGCACGCGCGGATGTGTGTTGCGTATTGCAAAAGACATGTGTGGCGGGGTCGCTGCCCACATACGTTATGCGACACCCACATAAAACGCAGCTACCGACTCTTGGACTGGTCTTGGCTATAATCCGCGTCGATTATAGCCTCGGCGACGAGAAAGTCCCCGCCGTTTTCCGATAAATAAAATATATACGCATGTAGGTGGAAAGGGAGGGAGGAATTTTCAGCGTGGTCGGCGATTTGAACGTAGAACGACCTTGCGAATCGAATTGACCCTCTGAAGTCGAGATCGCGACAGACTGCAAGAGTTGTCAACATTTTTCCTCTTCGTCGCGTAAATAACTCGACAAGTGGACGGCGTTACGCAAAGCGAACAGAGCTGCAGAAAATTGAGAAAATAAAGATAAAACCGCCTCCCCACTCAAGTTGATACTCTGGCATTGAGATGTAACATTTGGTCCGAAAGTTATCGACATTTGTTCCTCTTCTACGGAGATGTCTTGGTTTGCAGCATCGTCTGGTTGAGCAAAATGGGAATAATAATTGTAAAACTACACTGAATAAATTGCAAATATGAAGACAGAGAAAATAAAAGTTTGCACAGCTAGTCGTTACCGAGTTGTCAGAAGTAAAGAATTTCAACGGAAAGTGTTGCGATTAAAGTACTTTCGCCTAGTTTAATTGTAGTTTAACGTTGATTGAATTATTATTAATTTATTCAACTATTACATGTATAATTACCGCGGTCTCTCTAATATTTGAATAGATTGTACGGCGTAGACCAGTCGCGCGTCGAAATACATTATAAGCCCGTGACATTACTCTTTGTTTTCTTCGAAGAAATAATAGTTGAGAGCGTTCGTGAAATCGTGGCGCCAAAGTTATCGGAACCGTGAAGCCTGACATTTAATTAAGTCGCTCCCTCGAGCTCGCCTGGCGTAGATTAAAATTCGTGTTCTCGGCTTAAATGACTCGGCTGCATGAACGCGTGCTCAGTCAGGCATAAGCTTTGTTTCAGCGGCGTTCGAAGTTTCACCGGTAATTTGCATAGATTAACGACGACGTGTGAGCCATTAGTAAAACGTAATGCCGCGGTGGAAAGTTAAATCATTACGTATCGATAGGTGAATAGAGGTATTATTCAACGAGCGGTGGGCCGTCTCAGATAACGATCCGCTTTTACGGCTTCATTTAGTCCCTTCCGTCACCTACACGATACATAATAAAGCTGTTGACGGAGCCCGATTTCAGCTCTTTCGAAAGTTATGATTGCAGGTACCGCGGTATCGTATTTCGTTCACACGAAACGATCTTGAGCAACGTTTTAGTGTCCTCAGGGAGACTACAGACGATGTTTTATCTTATAAAAGACATCAATCTGTTTTTTCTCAAACGATGACGTGAAGTTAATGCATTATTCTTGTTTGCTTGTTTGTTTGATTTTTATATACCATTTTACGTTATAATATGGTAATATATTCAATTTTTTTTCAGGTGGTCGACGACTATGATACTCTTCCTTACTTTATTGACGAAAACAACCGATTAAAAAGATAGACAGCGAAAGATGGTGTATCGAGGCAGTTTGCAGACGGACGATCCCAGAGATGCGCCGAAGCTGGTCAGGATGTCTCCGCTCCGCAGCAGCAGGCCCATCAATCCCGGACCGAATTCGCGAGCCACCTGTTCCGTAAAAGGCCCTCTCGGTCACAGTTCGTTCGCGACGTCGATCGACGCGAATCGCGCGCGGCTGATCGAGGAGAGGCGTTTGGGCCGCGAAAGGGACATCGAGTCGGTCGAGAGGGTAATTGTAAGGACTACCGGCATGAAAATCAGTGCACCTAAACTGCGCAATATCAATGAGATTCGCGAGACCGTCTTCGTGGATCAATCCTTGACGCCGCTGAACAAGATAGGCAAGACAGAGTCTAAGAATCGGCCGCGCAGCGTCGCCGTCGGCCTCGACGACAGCAACGCCAGGATACCGAGGACTCACAGTTCCCTCTTAGCAGACCTGAAGGATCTGGAGAGGTTGAGGAACACTCCGTCGACGCAGAGGAATTACAAAGGTCCTTTGAGGATGGATAAAATGGAATCGAAGTCACCAATGATTCTTAGTAAAAAATCCGACATGCCGACTTCCGCTAAAATCCGCTCGGACATCTTTAGGATTCAGCAAATGTTCCAATCGTCAGATCCTGTGTCCAGAACGGCAAGCAGGAGTAGCAACGACAGAAAGATCAAGAGCGAGTCAGAAAAGGAGGAGAAAAAGCCTATTACGGAGATCAATAAAACTCGGCTGTTAACGCAGAAACTGCTGGAGGCGTCCAAGATCAATCGAGAATCTTTGAAGGAACGTTGTAACAATTCGAAGAGCTTGTCCAATAAAACAATAAACAAGGACGCGAACGGAAAGGTCTCGAAGATATTGCCGGAGAAAATCCCGGAGAAAGAACTGCGGGAGAAGCAATGGGAGAAAGTGGAGGCGAGTTCGGAGGATCAGCCGCGTCCTCCCGCTCGCAGGAGGAGGAACTCGAAGAATCGGGGGTGGAAGGACGCAAGTTACTCGGACGAGTGCTCGCAGGAGGATCGAAGTGTCCGCGATCGCGATCGCGATCGCGGGGAGGACTCGTCGAACGGCGCGAGTGCGGAAGAGAATTCCAAGGCCAGTTCTAATCTGGAAAGACCGGATATTCTGGACGGGCTCGTGAAAGAGTCTGACCAGCAGCTGGCAGACTTGAGGAGTGATCTCGGCGAGAGGGGCCGCTCGCGGAGTCACTGGCGAGGTTTCGTGCAATCCATGAGGCTGCATGACGTGGAGCTCCATTCGGACAGCGAGGACCAAAGGAAGGGTGAGTTTGAGAAACTGGGACGCTTTGTGTGCCAATTTTAGTCCTCAGATATAATTCTTGCTCTCATTCGAGTATCCCTTTGACGAACATTATTAAATATTTCGCGTTTAAAGACCCTGGAAAAGTCGTGAGAAATCTTAGAACGTGTCTGTTATAAAAACTTCTACGTTAGTTAATTTAATCTCTGTTTATATATAGTGTGTTTATAATTAGTGTGTTTATAATTCAATAAATTATGATAAATTGATAATATAGTGTGTTTATAATTCAATAAATTATGGTAAATTGCGAGCATGTGTAGCCTTGGCCAAAGATATAATGAATCTTTTAAGAACTGCAGAGGAAATTAATGCGGACGGCGTTCACGCTTATATGAATGAAAGATGTTTCCGCAATGTTTTCTATCAGAGTTCATTCGTGTAAAACACTTAACTCCATTAAAGAAGACGTTGCAAACGTTGTGTACCTGCTTGGCAGTGGCATCCTCGCGGCCTTTCGTTTGCGTGAGAGAAAATTCGCAGAGTCGGGGGTGGAAGGGCGCGAGTTACATAGGTACAATTATCGCGTTACACTCAATAATGTCTGTTCAAGTTTTCGAGTTTATCACTTTAATGCCCGCGGGCTGTTGGCTGCTCGACGTCCGTTTGGGAAGGAGGGGTGCTTTATAAGCCGGTAGATTGGATTAGCGACGTTTGTCGAGATGTTTAAAATTACAGTACAACTGGCATACCCATTAATCCCTCGGGCCGAGCCACCCCTATTTTTAGACGCTCCCTCGTTCGCTCGCTCATTCGTGTTACTACTGCAGGTCAGGGTAGAGTGTCCCCTATATAACGTATACATGTGTGTGTGTGTGTGTGTGTGTATCCCCTTAACATATGTCCCTCCATATGGATTTAGTCCGAGAAACAGTCACGCTACCTCTTCTCCCCGGTCCTGCGCTGAAAACTCCGGGCTGATGAGCACCCCGAGCTTTTCGAGAGCAGCCAGTTGTGTACACGGTACCAAAGAGTGGGTACTTACGCAAACGTGACGTGAGACCGCAGCCCATGCACTTCGAGCGCGAAATTTACGAGTCCCATTGTGTGAGTCTCATTCCTTCGTCGCGTCGATTTACTTTTTATTTTCTTTTAAAGGGTTCTTTTCAAGAGCAGAGAAATGCTCTCAAGCTTTCGTTTTACTTTTCCCTAGAAAGAATTACGAATCATCTCGCGAAGATCAATGTTTATTTATCAGTTTCATGTTGGCTTTTTTTAGAAAGATTATTGTTATCGTTATTACACTTTATCATGGTAGATTTGGTCTAATGTACCTGAGAGCTGCTACTGAATATTAATTGGTGTAAAGAATATCTGGATACGTAATAAATGTCGCTTTCCCCATTTGCGATGTAATCGGTAAAAATTGCAACTCGGTAGATGCCGAAAGTGTCGATATGTTCTCACGGCTAATACTTCCAGGAAGCTTTCTAGCTCTCCAGTCCATGCAGTGAATACGAGTTCAGCGAGTGGCACACTGGCGCCGTTACCTTTGGTTGAACGTGAAAAAGGTGCCCGGCGGCAGGCGAGCCTTGTATCCGCTCTTTTATCCACTAAGCATTCTTATCTGCGACTTATCATCTTACACGTACACTCACTATATCTCCACGTGCGTGCGTGCCCGCCCGCCCGCCCGAAGAATGTTTATACACGCTGTATTTCTTAGATAAAACGGTCCATTGCATCTGTCTTACAATCATAATATATATGAACAAAAGAACGGAAAAAATATAATCAAGTCAAAGCTGAGTTAAAAAACGACAGTTACATTTTCTAATTTTCTCTATTCTTTTATATGTTAGTATAATATGTAACAAAATAAAAGCTGTATTTCTTAGATAAAACGGTCCATTACATCTGTCTTACAATCATAATATATATGAACAAAAGAACGGAAAAAATATAATCAAGTCAAAGCTGAGTTAAAAAACGACAGTTACATTTTCTAATTTTCTCTATTCTTTTATATGTTAGTATAATATGTAACAAAATAAAAGAAGACTCGCGTGTTTTCTTTCAACAATAGGATTGATTTTTTTTACAGAATGATCAATATTATCTATTGTTGATTTAATGTTGACCGAACTTCTTAGTCTTCAATATTCAATTATCTAATTTAACCGAAATGATTGATTGAATTAAGTTAATTAAAACGGGATAGAGTGAAATATTCGCGCTGAGTGCAAAATAAATTCTTTTTTCTTTTCTTCACAAAACACGCCGAGAAGAATTCGCGTCGCGTTCATAGGATAGATATCGTCACATTACGCCGACCATATGTAATCTTAGCGTAATGCAAAAACGACGTTCTTCCTCTCCTCCGTCCCCCTCCCCTCCGTCTCCCTATCCCCCTTCTCGGGAAGGCTCGTAAAGCAAGCGCCGCGTTTCGCCTCGGGAAAAATTCCTGAATCAAAGGATCTCGGGTCGTCGGTGGCCGCGAAGGGGTTAATCCTTTCGCGTCGCGATGAAATACCGCGTTTACGCTTGAACTATGCACCTATGCCCGCTGCTCTCGGATACTTGGCCGTTCGCGTAATACCGCGTTTTCGTCTCGAAGGGAGAAAGCCATAAGGGGCAGACTTCCCCCTCGCCTCGCGAGAGACACCGTATTCGCATTCTCACGGCATCGCGAAAGTTTTCATAAACGAAGAGAATGCGCGTATTGCGCGGTGCGAACGATCGTCGTGCGCTATTAACAGTCCGATGACACGCCACCATTTTTATTTCGTCTTACCGTTCGCCTCGCGGTTTGATTGCACAAACGACGCGACAGTGCACTCAGAGAAGGATTTAGTAAATATTATCAAAATTTGGTTACTATTACTAAGTGATAGACGTAAATATAGCGGGCCAAAGCTATGGCAATACTTATTAATTAATTTAGTTCTGTAAAATAAATTATTTATTTGACAGAAGTAAAATTTATTTGCTTCCAGAATATATTTGGTAAATAAAACTTATTGAATAGTTGAGCAAAATAAGCGATTTTGTAATA